TTAATAAAAAAGCTTTAAGAAATATACTATTTATCCGACTCGAGCTTTAAGTTATCGATAATACGAAATTATAATAAATCTTTGCAAGCAGCTAAGCAAAAGAGCGTCTTTTTAGCAGTATAAATTAAAGAACACCGAGCTATTTATAAGTTAACGAAGATAAACAACTTTTACGAAACGACGAGTATACTCGCGATAAAAGCATTTTTAAAAGCTATTAGCGAAAAATAATTATTAACTTAAGCGTCGTTAAAGCTCTTAAAAGTCATTCGAAACGACGAGCTATTATTACTTTAAAAGCGCACCTTTTACGATTACTTTAACTAATACGAAAGTTAAGTCGAAGAAAAGACTAGCAATTCGAACTTTAATTTCTTTAGCGTATTCGTTACTTTCGAAGATTAAACTATTCGCAGCACTTTCGAAAGTAATAAAGTTAACGATATTGCTTTTAAGCAGTCTAGTAAACGCTTCGATAGCTTTAAAAGACTTGCTAAAAGTTTTAAGTGCTCGTGCTTTAAAAAAAGAAATTATTATTAAGACGTAATTAAGTACAAGATCCTTTGCTATTGCTTTAACGATCTTAACGAAAGTAGATTCGTAAAGCCGAATTAAAATAATATCGTCGTTATAAAGAAAAAGCTTTAAAAGCTTAAGTTTAAAGCGTTTCGAAAAGAGATTATAAAAAAAAATTAAACATAAATTCAAGTCGATAAGATCGTTTTAAAAAGCAAAGAAAAGCAATCGAATAATAGCGATAAGTTAAAATACTTTAAAAAAGTATTAACAGCTATTATCGATCTCGAGCTTTTTAATACGTTCGATAATCTTGCTTTTAACGGTCTTTATAGCACGGCTAACAATAAGCATTAGCTATTTAATAATACTCTTCTCGATAATTGCGGCGTTATTTACTTTATTAACGATAAGAATCTTTTAAAGCTAAAGTCAATTCAACGCTTTCGCTTAACCGACTTTATCGAAGCTAAAACGAGTAATCTTTTAATCGTCGAGCGAAGTACTAAAGTTTTTAAAAGAGTTTTAAACGGATTAAATAAAGCTAAAACGAAAGATTTAAAATTAAAAAACGTCGTTATCGTTAAAAGGTTTAATATTAATATCATTTCGAAAGCTCTTTTAAGCAAAGCTAGCGTATAATATTCGAAATATAACGCAACTCTCCGCTACGAAAAAGTTAAAGAAAGCGTCGTATTAAAAAAGTTAAAAAAGAAGTTCAACTTTACGTTCTTTAAATATAAGCTATTTAATTATTCTTTTTTTTAATTGATTCGTAGCTCTTTTTGCTTAATAATGTTTTTTATAATTTAGAAGCGCTTATAAATACGCTATAAATTCTAAAAGAGCAGTGTCTTTCGAGCTTTAAAAAAAGATTCATCGGTATTTTAACATTTACGAATAAGTTATTTAAGCAAAAAAGCGCTCGAAGCGCTAGCTTATAATACTAAAAAAGTAAAACTTAAAAGAATTATTAAAATTAAATATAAAGCATATGCTATTACGCACGCTTAACAAGTTATATCTCGCTATACGTTAAATAATAAAGCAGTTAAGCTATTTTATAAGATCGCTTAAGATTTATTCGACTTTTTTAACGGTTTTAACGAAAGCAAATAATTATTAATAATTAAAAATAAATATAATAAAAAGCTATTCGGCTTTACATTAAAAGATAAATTGCAATTAACGGTTATAAAAGTGCTAAAAGAATTTAAAGTATAAACGAAACGCAAATACGATCTTTTAATAGCTGTTATACGTTATGATAACGATTCTTCGATAATCGCAATCAACGTTATCGGCTTTATCGAATATTAAAAATAAGCGAAAAAAGTTAAAATCGAATTAAAGCTCTTACTATCTTTTAATTACGAATCTAATAAAAAAGCCGAGAAAGCTAAAAGAAAAGTGATAAAACGGTCTATTAAAATAAAAGTAAAAGCAAAGCTTTTAAAAAAGCTTTAATTTAAAACTATACTAGCCGCTATTTACTTTTATAATATAACACCGAAAGCGAAGAGCTTTATAAAGAGTCCGAATAAAGTGCTATAGCTTTAGTTTAAGTAATATTTTAAGTAATACGATCCGGCGATCTTTATACAAATCGACACCGATTTAAAACTAAATTATAACGGTTTAGTTGCGTATAACGCTCGTGCGTACTTAATAATTAAAGACCGAAAAGCTTTTCGTAATAAAAAAGCTTTTAAAGTTAAACTAAAAAGACATATAAACTACTTAATTAAATATATAACTTCTAATATATACAAGATCTATATTCTTATGCTTTATAAAGTGATTATTATACGCAACGTAACATTCGATAAGACTCAATTCTATTTTAAAAACGAGAAAAAATCGATCAGCTAATCGATTAACGAGATCAAAAGCATCGTTATTAAATTAAAAGATATTAAAGACTTTAATTAAACAAAAAACGCTTTATTTAATATAAAGAACGTTGCAAAAGATCGCTTAAAAGAAACGAATGCAATTGATATAAAAAGTAATTAATCGTTAGACTTTATAAAAGTTGATTTAAAAAGATTTAATTAAAGCTTAAAAAATGCGACTTTATTTAATCCGAGCGATATACAAACGTTAAAAGCTTTAACTTTAATTAAAGACTTTATAAATACGTTTATACTAAAAGCAACTGCTTTACGAAACGATTTAATAGATTTTAACGATTCGAATTACACCGCTAAACGTTTCGCTAGCTTTTTAATTAAAAGCAAAAGCGAAAGTGCCTTAAGACTGTTAAAAGTAAAAAAAAGCACCGTAAACGAGCAAAAACTTAGCTTTAATAAAAAAGCGCGTATATTATACTTTTAAGTTGTTATTTAAAGCCGAAGCTCGAAAAGCTAAGCTATAAACCGACTAACGAAAGCTTTTACGTTAACAACCGGCGGAGATTTAAACCGAACAATTAAAAAAAAGCTTTTAAACCCTTTTAAAGCGAGCACTAATAATAAAAAATTAAACTATAAACACTTTAAATAAAATTCCGACTTTAATAAAAAGCACTCACTTATTAATAACCGCACTAGAAAACGCGCGAAGATATACGCAAGTGTTAATAAGCTTCTTTTAAATAACTCTCGCGCTAATTCGAACTGCTATTCGCGCGTTTTAGATTTTGTATCGACTTTTTAAGTTAATAGCGAACTCGTGCGCGAAAATAGCAAAGATTACGAGATATTACACGCTATTATAATAGCTGCTACTTCGTTTAAGCTATTATTAAAACAGCTTAACTCGTAAAAACGAAAACATTTAAAACTTTTTACTTATTAAAAAGAGCTATAACGATACTTATATAACAAAGAGTTCAAAGACGGAGCTCTTATAAAGCTGAATAATCTAAAAAAAAAGAACTGTTAAAAAGTGATTCTCGAAAGCGAAGCTAAATTAAAACTTATACTTTTTAAATAAGTGTTTATATATAAGACTAGCTCGTTCGAAAAGATCGTAAAGTTCAGATCGAAGATTATTATTAAAAGTAACTTTTAAAACGAATCTATTATTTATTCAATTTACGCGGCTACGCTAGCAGCTAGATCTTTTAAAATCATAATAATTATAGCAGCCGAATTTAATTTAAAAGTAAAACAATTCGATATTGTTAACGCTTTTATTAACGCTATAAGACACACGGATAACGTCTTAATTACGTATTATCTTTTTAACGGTTTTAAGTAAAAAAGTATACTCGTAAAAGTCGATAAAGCTTTATATAAACTTAAAAACTCGCTAGCTTTATAATATTTCGACTTTATAAGCACACTCGACAAATTAAAGCTTATACTACTCGGTAAAAAACCGTGCATTTTTACGAATTTAAATAAAACGGTTTTTATAACGTTTTACGTAAACGATATTCAAGTTATATATTATTATTTTAATCTTTTTAAAGCTTAAGAGATTATTAACGGTCTTAATAAAGCGTATAAGATCGAGGCGATAAGAAATATTAAATAGTTTTTTAATATAAAAGTCGCTCGAGACCGTTAACGAAGAACGCTAACGCTTATACACGACGCTTATATTAAAAAAATAGCTAAGAAATTCGAACTTACAAACGGACGCTGCTTAGCAACTTTATTACCGTTTTATAACTTAATTAAAAATAAAAAGATAGCTTCGCGGAAGCAAGTAAAAAAGTATTAAGAAAAAGTTAGATCCGTATTATATATAGCGATTATGCTACGCTTAGATATAGCTTTTACAGCTTTTTAACTTTTTCATTTTAGCATTAATTTAAGCGCGAAGCACTTTCGAGTTATAAACTAATATTTACGATATCTATTTAACTCGCGCTTTAAAAGTATTTAATACAGCTAATTTAGCAAATCGGAGCTAGTAATAGCTTCGGACGCTTCTTACGCCGATAACGAAAAGACAAAGCGATTTTCTTAAAAGTATATTATGTTTTTGTTCGAAAGTGCGATCTTTTAAAAAGCTTTAAAGCAAGATATAGTTATTATATCATCTATTAAAACGGAGCTTCTTAGTATAGCCCTTATAATAAAAGAAACTATAACGCTTTAACGGTTTTTTAAAAAGCTGCACTTTCGTTTTGCGGCGCTTTAAGTAGTTTATTATAATAATCAATAAATAATTAAGCTTATAGCTAATAAAAAGAAGCGTATCTTTACTAAGCTTCGCTACGTCGATATTCATAATATATAGCTGCGCTAAAAGCATTTAAAAAAGAGCTTTCAAGTTCAATATCTTTTTATTAAAGAAATGCACGCTAACGGTCTTATTAAAAACTTAATTCGATAAAAGTTTAAAAGCTTTATCAAGCTCTTGAATTTACAAGACGCTCGCGCGTTAGTCGAGAAGCTTTAATAGCACGCATATATTATTTACTTATTATATTTTATTTTTTTTATTTATACGTAATTCAAAAGAAAACATCTATTTAATAATCTTAACCGTTATTCTATTTTATTTTATACACCTTTACCTTTCGCTTCTTATAACAAAAGATCGACTAGAGCTCTTAGCAATCTCTTTACTTTAGCTCGGCGCTCCGTAAAAGTCATAACAACGGCGGGCGCCGCCGCAAAAGCGGCAAGCGCAACAACTAGCGCAAAAAAAGCGACGATAATAAGTGCTACGAAAGCGACGAGAACTGCGAAAGCGACGAGAACAACAAAAGCGGCTGATATAAGCGCAAGAGCTGCTACAACAGCGGATTAAAGCTTTTGTATAAAGTCCGAAAAGAAGTTTTAATTAAAAGGAGCTGCTTAAATTAAATTATTTTAAAAGTTAAAAAGCTTGACTTACGAAAAGGTGATATGCTCGAAGCGCTTCGCGTCATCGGACTACGGTTCGCTGCTACAAGACCATTTAATTTAATAAAAGCTATATTTAAATTGAAAGTCTTAAGAGCAAAAGCAAAACTTGCAAAGCTACCGAAACTACTTTTAAAACCTTTACTTCTACTCGCTAGACCGCTCGGACTATTAACAGCACTTTTTAAAAGAGTAGCATTTAAAGCGAGCTATTATCGTATAGCATTTCGGAGACCTCGGCGAACTCTTTATATAGCACTATTGTTTTTAACGCTTACGAAGTTATCGAAAGCGGTGTTAATAGCGGCAAAAGTAGCGGTGCAGTTGCTATAGCTACTTTTAGCATACCGAAGACAGCGTATAACGCTCGTATCGCAATTATAACAGTTTTTATTAAACCTCGATATGATCTTACTATTGATGCACTTAATGCACCTTAAGGCTTTAACGGTCGTTAGCATAAGCAAGCGCTTAATAAAAAGGTCTAAGAAAAGAAGCGAAGCTTCGAAAGTAAGAGTGCGTAGTATAGCCGCCGCAACCGCCGCAGCTGCAGCAGCAGCAATAGCTAAAGCGGACAAAAGATTCTCTTAATAATCAGCATAAAAATATTAATTTGTTAAAAGCACTACTTACTTTTAAACGGCTTCGGCCGCGCTTAACGATTCTATTAGACTAAGTTACTTATTTAAAGAGCATTGTGTAAATAGATAGAAGTTAAGTGTTTGTTATAATAAAAACGGACGCGCTTTCACTTATATAACAACGCGACAAAAACGGCGCTAAAGACCTCCGCTACGTGATAAGACCGACTTAAGAAAGAATTGCATTCTTAACTAACACTTAATTAATAATAACAACCGTTATTTGTTTATTTAAATTACGATGATAATCTCTTTTGTTTATATCGAGTTTAAAAAGCTTAATCATTTATTTTTTTTCTTTTTTATTTGCTTGCAACTTAACAACTACGCTATTGACTTAAAAGGTATATTATGCGGAACAAGCATAGTTCTATCTAAGCTATATATAACATGTTATGTAACCTCGCTTAATAGCGCCTTTAGCATACTAGAGCTCTTAAGTACATGTACATAGATCTTGACGAGCTTCTTAGATAGAATATACCAAGCTTCATTCAATCTACAGAATCTCCTCCTGATCTTAGTGCTGGTAAGCACTACAAGTAGCAATAACAACGGCTTCGAAAACATAATCGAGCTTAATAATACGTAAAGCAATAGCAGCTATACGTTAAAAGAAGACCCGTTAAAACTTAAGAGCATTCCGGACAAAATCAGCTCTTATTAAAGATAGCGTATAGATTTCCGTGCTTAACTTTAGCAACCCGAAAAAAGGATCTAGCATTTTCGAACGTATCGATAAGCTTTTTAAATCCTTTAATAAGCTACGTATCGATAAGAAAGATATTAAAGGTATAAGAATCGTTAAGAGCGCGCTTAAGAGTACGAATACTATCGAGCTAAAGCTTTAGCCGGTAACTCGAGTAACTTTAACGATCTTAACGATAACCGACGAAGAAAGAACGAGAAAGATTAGCAAAAAGATCGAGGTTACGAGTACGGAAAAGATAAGAACGGCTTTTTTAGATTATTAAAAAGATTCGGAAACGGACTCTTAAAAGACCTCGGATTCGGAAATAAGCTTTTTAAAGACTTTAGAAAAAAACGGATTACCGGCAACTATATCGATAACCTTTTACCGATTAGATTATTAGCTAAGCATAACACACTTGCGTACGGCACTTCAAGCGCTTTTAACGATAATAAAGATGATTTCCTTAAACTAAGAATAATAGACTTTTACTTAAGAGCGAAAGAATTAGCTTTATTCGCGCGAAGCTTTTTTAAAAAGCTAAAGTATTTAAGACTCGACGATAACTTTAAGACTTAATTAAAGATTTTTGCTAATTAAGCAAATCGATACGGTTTGACTTCCGACGATTACTTAACGGCGTTTTCGATTATGCTTATAAAAAAAGCTATAACCTTTTATTATAATTACGTTATTAAAGCTAGGCTTTCGACTTTCAAGGCAAACGCTATTGCAATAAAAGACTACTTCGAGATTAACTATCGGCGGTAAGCAAAATACGACCGCTAAAAGGAAATTTCGCTAGATTTAATTAAAAAAAAGAATTTAAAGACTTCGTTTAACGAGTGCTTCGAAAAGCTCGTTAAAAAGCTTAAAAAAATTTAAAGCTTTTTACGATTAAGTTTAAAAGATGATCGAAGTCTTGCTAATAAGTTATATTCAGCTTATAAAAACGTATTAAAAACTACGATTGTACGAATAAACTTTGCTTTTACTTTTACCGCAGCAGTTATTAATATTCGTCGAGCAATTGCGTTTATTATTAAGACTTCTCGACCTTTCGCTAAAGCTAAAGCTTACGCGAGCTTTAGCGAGCTATACGATTACACTTGCTTTTATAACACTTTAAAAGCTGACTTCGATTTAAACGAAGAATACGAATGCTTTATTTAAGACCGCTAATACTTCGAAAATAAGAAAGCTGCTAAAGCTATTAAAAGTAAGAAAAAGTGTTTTGTTTGCAAAAAGCTAAGTTGTTAAAGCATTAACTACACTTTCGACGAAAGAAAAGCATCCGTCGCTAAGTTTTAAGCTTTTAAAAACGTAAAAAAAGTGACGAAAAGCAAATTCTTTTAATACGTAGCATCGATTAAAAGCTTGCTATTTATATTTACGAAAGAATTCGATCAGTTCATCGCAAGCTTATTAAACGAGCCGTTCGAATCGAGCAGCTACGTTAATATATCGAAAGGTTTTGTAATTACTTATAGCACTTTTAACGTTAACGAAGTATATAAACAGTTAAAGATTTAAACGGTATTCTACGCTTTTATTAGTTAAGTAAAGATTTAAAAGATGCTCGAGCAAAATCCGCGTATGCTCGCGAGCAAAGCAAAGACTTATATAGCTTTTAAGTACTTTGAAAACGTGTTTATAAGCTTTATAATTAATAACGGAACAGCTAATTTCTTTATCGTTAGCTTGCTTTAGCTACGAGCACTTTAAAAAAAGTATTTTAAAGTTTAATTAAATACATCTCGAGCAAAAGAGAAATCCGTTAAGTACGAGATCGGCTTTGTTACTTTTATTAAAGCAGTTACCTTAAGTATTCTTTTAAGTCAAGTGAAGTTTTACGTTATAAAAAGCGACGTACTTTTCTTATTCTTATTAGCTAATATAAATAAGCATAAAGTGATCTTAAATAACTTGCGGAACGTGTTAGTTTAAAAGAAAAAAGAAATATTAATAATAAAGATATTTAAGCACGTATAGATGCTATTAAGTAAAAAGCACGCTGCTATTTATTACAACACCGAAAACGAGACCGTCTATTATTACTTTATAGAAAAGCAATTAAAAACTATTTATAAGCGTTTTAACCACTTTTTAGCAAGTCGATTTGCTGCTGTTCTTAAGAAAGCTAAGCACGAATTCAAACGGGATTTGCTTTATAATATTTAAAAGTTTTACTACTATTATTAAGTATTCAAACGTTTTTCGAAAAGGTTTAATATTAAACTTAAAGATAATACTGATTTTAATAATACGGTATACGTTGATATAATGCATTTAAACGGCAAAAACGTATTGCACGTCGTTTGCGACTTTATTAATTTTCAAGCCGCTACTTTTCTTAAAAGCATATCCGTATAACATTTACTTAAAAGATTCAATCGATATTAAATTAATACTTACGTCGAGCCTTTTATAAACGTAATACACGATCTCGAAACCAACTTTAATTTAACGACGTTCCGAAAGTACTTTAAAAGTATTAAGAGCATTCTGAAGCAGATGCTTATAAAAGCTTATTATAGCGTCGAGCTAATAAAACGCTATTACGTCTTTATGCGACGCGCTTTTAAGATCGTTATAAAAGAGCTTTTAAAAGCCTTAAAAGAGGACCGACTTTAAATAGCTATTAAAGCTATCAACGATACAGCTAGACTTAATAGCTTAGTTCTTATACTTTTCGTTTTTAAGACTTTATTAAAGCTAACGGAACAAGATCGACTTACCGCGTTTACTTAAGAGCGTGCTGCTGCTATTAACAAAGCTATAAAAGAAGTACGAAAATGCTACGCAACGAAGCAAATTAAAAACGCGCTTAAAAGAAAAAATAGATTAATTACGAAGCATACTTTAAACCTTTTTATTAATTCACGAGTACTCGTATAACGAGAAAATTAAAAGTAAAAAGGCTTTTTTCAGCTGCTTAGCAAGCAAAAGCATACGTGCATAATAGCATGTCCGAAGCTTACGGAATTCAAGTCAACCTTAATAAAACCTTATTACTTTAAAGTTGAAAAGCTATTAAAAGAGTTGCAAGTATTTAAAGTAAAAGTAAAAGAAAAGATAAAAGAAGATTAAAGCGAAAGCGAAAAAGAGCTAGAAATACGAAATTCGCTTAAACTTTA